CCCCAAAACCCCAAAACCCCAAAACCCCAAAACCCCGTTGGCCAGTAATTTTAAAGAAAAATAGCTAAGATTAAATACTTATTAAATTTATGCTGAAAAGTCTAAGTCAATTAACTAGGTCATAATAGGCAGGATTGTAAAGTGAAATTTCCCTAAAATAAATTCAATTTAAACTATTTAGATTACTTTAAAATTAATCTCTTGACCTTGTCAAGATTTAGGTTAGGGTCTTCCTCAAATGAAAAGTCAAGTTGCCCTTCAAACTCTGGCTCATCATCAGGATCATGCATTGATTCAAGGAACGGATGTTTTAATGCATCATTTACAATGATTCTAGTTGCTGGGTTTAAATCGAGCATTTTATCAAGAAGGTCATGAGCCTCTTTTGGGAAGGTAGGGAACATTTCCTAAAGTGGTACTTTTTCCTTGTGGGGCAAGGATTCAATATATTTCAACGCATACTCATTTGTAATTTGCTCTTTTGTCTTTGCATCAGGAGTACCTCTTAAATTGATAATGAGGTTAATCTACTCTATATAATGCTGGCCTGGGAATAAAATCTTTCCGTTCATTATTTCTGCAAAGGAGCAACCAGCGGACCAGACATCAACAGCTTTTGAGTACTATTTTCAATTAATACTTGGTATTTCTTAATTATATTACCTCATGAGATGAAAGCATAATCTCTGGAGCTCTGTAAAATCTAGTCACAACATATTCTGTTAAATCCTCTCCCTTTTCTTTGCTGAGATTTCTGCTTAGTCCGAAATCACTAAAATATTTAGTCTTTCCATATAATACTTACCATATTTTTAAGTCACAATTTTCATTTAAAAGAATATTACTAGGCTTTAAATCCCTATGAATGATATTTGCAGAGTGAATATATTTGAAAGCTCTTAGCACCTAGTAGAGGAAGTATTGTATATGTTCAATTTTTAGTTTCTACTTTGACTTTATCACTCTATTAAGATCTGTCTCCAGGAGCTCACTGACTAAGTATATATCTCCAAGAACCTCACTAAAAGCATAGATTAAAGCTTATATAGGGGAAAATATACCCTTCCTTTGGTACATAAACTACGTCTTTTAATCCAAGAATATTTTCATGCTGTAAGTTTCTCATTATCATTATTTCTCTAAGTACTCTTTTTGAATCTATCTATTAAAATTATGAATCAAACCATTGATAATGTAAGTTAGCTTATAATATTTATATGTCCTTACCATATCCTCTATTTTTGAAAGTTTTTTAATAGCAACTTTTTCTTTGTTAAGATTGTCAATTGCTGAGACGACAGCTCCATAAGTTCCTTTTCCAATAAGTTTAATAGGCTCATATCTATCAGGCAAGTCAAAATTTATACCATTAATTTCCAGCATCTTCATTTTAATTTAATATGATTTATTAAGATTGTAACTAGCGCTCAAGTATTATTGCCAATTATAGAATATTCTCTTAATTAGTTTGATTTTAACAAGAAACTTAAATATAATTCAAAAAAAATTAACTTAATAATTTAGATTAAGTCAACTAAGCTCATCCTTTAAAGATGTAAAGAATAAACTTAGAAGCTGTAAGTTAATAATGCTAATATATTTATATCACACTTTTTTACAAGTTCCACTTCTCATCCATCATCAATGATGGAATGAGTTTATTTTTTCCTGAAGCCCTTCAAATCACAAAACCTTTCTGTTAATGATTAATCTAGTGTTCTTGCTATTCATAGCAATTTCCTAATTATCCTTCTCCATTGACTAGAGTATCAGTGTGGTTACTATAGCCATTGAAGCCGTTTTACTAATGAGAACCATTAATCTCTTAAATTCTTTGATTTTCCACATGCTCTCCATTTCCGAATCTGACAAGTATGTCTGAGACCATCGAATAAATCTCCTAATTAGGATTATACTACTGACTTTCAAGTTCATCAACACCTCCAAGCTATTCAAATATGTTGTAGTACTATTTACCTCCATTCAAATCATCCAGTTCAAACATTTTCCTTAGGGTGTTTAAAACTACCATTAAAATTTTGGGGGGAAGATTTCTTTCAACTTTGATTAATTGATAGAAATAGTCTAAGATATCTTTTTAGTACACAAGTCTATCAATTATTTCAATTCCTTGCCCGCCTAGAACCATATTATGGAAAATATAGCTAGCTTCCTTGCTCTCAAGTTAGTTAAAACTCATAAGGACTTCGAGTATCTTACTACTCAGGAAGTTGTTATCTAATATCTCATTAGTGATTTTAACATTATAAGTGATGATCAAGTTGGAGAAGATCCAGCAAAAATCCTTGTTTAGCAAAGTATTATTTTCATGGAATTGCCAAGCATCTCTTAGAATTGTAACAATTTTGTTTTTGTAGAATTGGTCTGAGTAGCTCGTGTCGTCGCACGAAAGGACATTGCCGAGAATTATGAGACATTCCGCAAACATACATTAGTCCTCATGCTGGACTAGACCTTCAATAATGATACTCTGCAGGGGTGTATGATCCATCAAGTAAATTATGTTATCATCACATTACTCAGTAATCCTCCTCAAGAAACCGATCATTATGTAGCTTCTCTATTCATTAGGCTATATAAGAAGTTTAAACAAACAAGGATAGAAAATTACAATAGATTAGATCTCTGATAGCTGCAATAGGTAAGCATCTGTTGAACTCAAAAAATTTTTAAGGTCATCAAACCACTCTTGCTTAAATTCTTATGTAATGTCCTTTAGTAAATTCTAAATGCAAAACCAGGTGTCTAGTTTAATGTTATCTAGGATCATGATATTTGTTGTAATTAGCTCAAAGAGTTTGTAATCTACAATCAACTAATGCAGTAATTCTTAATTGTTGTGGGTATAATTACTGAGATACCAAAGTTCTTACTCATAAACTCTCTAAAAGCAATCTATTTCCTGCTTTAAATTAGCATCTTTGGAATCAGATAATTTAAACTCTTTCATTAATGCTGAGAGTATCTCGTTAATCTGGAATATTGAATTAATAGTCTTGGGTAGTAGATTAACAAAGGGCTCTAGAATATCAGCAACTTATTTGTTTTGAATGCATAAGTTTATCAAAAGCCAGCTGATTTCTTTCAGTAATAAATGATTTGTTGAGAATTGTAAAATGTCAAGCAGATTACTGAATTCTCGTCCATCATTGCGGGAGAGTGTTGAATAATAGATGATAGCCTCCTATCGCTCTCCGAATAGCTCATCACTGTTTACTGCCCTTCTCATCCTCCTAGCAATCAATATTTGATCATGCTCAGTTAAGCTTTAGTTCATAAGAAGCTCGAGACCTTTGGCCAAAACATCTTCCTAAAAGCAAAAAATGAGTTTAACTTTTAATTATCGAGATGAAAAAAACAAATTTCTTACTGGTGAAAGACTCATATCTCCCAAAGCAGGATGACTACCGAAACTATCTTATTCAGGTTTGTATGGGGACTTGTTTTTGGAGGTGATCTTGGCCCTAACTTTGGACAGTTTTGCATTCTTGTTTTTCTATCTCAGAGATATTGCAAATTCCTCTCGCTTCCTATGAACATCGACCTCAGCCACTATGAAATGCCATTATTAACTTGAATTTAATGCTTATAAACTTACCTTTGAGGAACTTAGAGTTGCTGTCATTCTGACTGAATTAGGAAAAAGTAATGGCTGTGGATTGGGATTCGTATTAATTTTACTGATTAAAGTTGTCTCTTTATTAGTTCTGACTGAGATTGTATAATTCTGCCATAGTATGATGTTTAAGTTTAAATTTAAATATATATTTATCTTATCCTCTTTCGATAGTTATCATTATAGTTACGGGGTTTTGGGGTTTTGGGGTTTTGGGGAGATCGGAAGAGCAC